CCCCCCACACTAAACCATCCGCCAACTACCTATGTTGCTTTATTTGACAATGACAATGACAATCTTTATTCCTCTCACAGGGAGGCATTAAATCGTCTTGGTAGTCTATAATGGCTGTAGATGTTACGAAGGTTAGTTTGGTGCACCAATCTAAGAGACCAATCGAGTACCAGAAACTACTGACCAATGACGGACATGACTTTCCTGGTCCAGGTGACAGACAGGATGTTCCGTGAGATGAGCAGGTCGGCCAGCGTGCCGCTCACTGTGATGAAGAACCAGAACGTCAGGTACGGAAGCATGGAGTACACACCGTTCTGTGGACAGAGAAATCGGAGGTGGACAGTTTTCATTTTGTTTTTGGTAAGTGTTTTATGGCGCTCACAACTGCATACAGTCATATGAGCGCACGGTACACATTAAACATTTTCAGTTTATTAGGAATTAATTTTGAATTTTGTCTGGGTGGTGGCCGAAGCCCATTCTAATCGATTTTGGACCACCAAATGATCTTTAACGTGCTCAACTTGCACACGGAACCTCTGAGATTTTTCGCCCTTGCCCGAAGGTTAAATGGTAGATCTTACCTATGATAAGATAAGGGGTGTGGCTGAAAGACAGCAGTAAGAAGAAGCCAAGGAGTAGCAGTAGAAAGGCTGCAGAAAGCGTTAGGAGCCCAGAGGACGGCGCGGGTTGGGGTGGGAAGACAGAAAGTGGATAATATTAAAGCAGACGACAGATCATGGTTAGAGTCCAGGAAAGGTGGTGAAAGGAGATTATAATTTTAGAGAAAAAATATTTCCGTCTCTCTCAGGTTTTCAACCCAGGACCTATAGAATGAGAGACGAACACCGTGATCTCTTGACTGCGAGAGCCTCCGACGTTGATCAACACGATGGTGGCTGTCAAAATTGTGGTGAGGGTGGACATTGACATACTGATGGGTGACAAAGCTGCGGTGTTCAGAATTAAGGTGGTACAAATTGTTCAGTTTAAGTTTACAGCGAAAACGTTTGATGTAATTAAAACTGTGGTGGCCAACACAAAGGTGGTGAAATGGTTGTTGTCAAAATAATAATGGTTTATGGGGTGGTAGCCACATTCGGTGTATTCGAAATAGTGGTGGTGAACATATGGGTTGTCACAATAATGGTGGTGAAAATGGTAGTAGATCTACTCAAAATAGTGTTGATGTTTTTACCACGGTAGTCAAAATAGTGGTAAATTACACTATGATAGGAAAAAGTAAAGTTGTGGTTATCATGGGGGTAGTCAAAATAACATGTTGGTTAAGATGAATGCGGTGAACATAGGGGTAGTTATCACGGGGGTGGATAAAATAGGTTGGATCTGCTGCTGTTGTTGTAATTGTGTAGAGTGTAGAGGGTGGTGTTTGTAGTCTAGTGGTTAGGCCACCGGTCATGTAATCGTGAGACTACGGGTTTGGGGGTTCGAGACAGACCCAGTGCGGTCCTTGTGTCCATGGAGTAGGAACTTTACACGCATTTTCTCAAACGACTCGATTCCTTCAGAGACGGACGTTAAATTTACAGGTTCGGCCTCTTAAATAATTTCACATTGCTGCAAAAGGCGTTAAAACAATACGATTTCGCTTTTTCAATACTTTTAGAGGTTTGTTTGTGTCAATTCGTGTGTTGTTTGTTTTCTTGTCTGTATGAGTAAAGATGAACACATGGAAACAGTAATGGCCATTTAGTTATGGTAGAAAGTAAGATTGATAGAAACAACAGTGGGTAAGAAAACAAGAAGGCCATATCGTGACGCCCTCCAATTATCCGATCCTAGTACAGAGGTTGGAAAAGCCTTAAAACATTACAAGCCCAAGAACATCCGGGTGAGCACACAGACCACCATAGATCTACTTAGCAATGTTGTCAATGAGCAATTCAGTGTCTGTTGTGTTTCAGTTAGTCACTTCATTACCCTAGAATTACGAAGTTCTATCTGCTCAGAGCCTAGTTTTGAGAAATTTGACGTTAAACATTTTGAGTTTCACAGTATGTAAAGTTTTTTTGAAAGCATTTCTTTGAATATCTTGATAAGGACTCCGGAAATAATCTTACGACTTCGATAGAGCAGATAGAACATTTGGTTTCTGACCTCGTGGTCTTAGTAACTCAACGGTCAAAAATGTCTGAGAGAGCTTTGTAATTCTCAGGTACCGATTTTGCTTTGGACGCAAAACGTAGATCTATAAGTTCTATTCTTAAAAGACAAAGTTTGGTTTATCTCGTATCGTTTGTTTATTTTGCCGTGACGCTGTATCCTACTCAGTCCTGGTGGACCCTGACAGGAAGATTCGAAGCTGCCCATCTCTTATTCGGTATAAATTCTGTCGATAGAGACGTCTATCATTTACGGTCCACACCCATAACCACCCACAACAGAGTGGCCGTAGCGCAGTAACTACTAACAGGGAAGTAACCACTGAACTGAAAAGTACGGAAAAACAATTTAGCGAGAGCGTTGACACATCACAGCTTGTGATGGCACAAATGAACTAGTCTGGCACCATCAATAGATTAAAAACACAATCAACAAACAAAGTAAAACAAAACAAATTAAAAAAAGCCCACAAAAAGAACCCCCCCCCAAAAAAGAAAGAAAAAAGAAACAAACCGCAACGAAACAAAAGAGAAACCCCACATAAGCCGTAACTGGTTGCTGTTTTACGGCGCCCACAAGTGGATAAGGTCATATGAGCGCGCAGGACACACCAAACACTTTCAGTTGGTTGGAATTAATTTTGAACTTCGCCCAGATGGAGGCCATAGCCTATTCTTATCGATTTTGGACCCCCAAGGGATCTTTTACGTGCGCAGCTTGCACACCGGACCTCCGAGATTTTTCGTCCTTATCCGAGAATGCTAGATGTTAGACGTATGCTTCCCAGGAAGTTGAGTTTGTTTCAGAATGCTCTCAGGTCAGCTGGGGTAATAGTATATATTATATTGTAAAGCGCATAGCGGTTGCTGTCTATTATCTATTATAATTTAGATCTTACCTACGATAAGAGATTGTAAAGCGCATAGAGTTTGCTATCTATTATCTATTATTATTTAGATCTTACCTACGATAAGATCAGGCGTGTGGCTGAGAGACAGCAGTAAGAAGAAGCCAAAACATAGCAGTAAAGAGGCTGCAGAAACAGTCAGGAGCCCAGAGGAGGGGGTGAAGGAGGTGGGGTAGGGGCAGAAAGTGGAGACAAAAGCAGACGACAGAACGTGGTTAGAGAATTTGAAAGAAGGTGAAAAAAGACAATTTTAGAGAACATTTTCAGTCAATTTTAGGTTCCGAACCCAGGATCTGTTGAATGAGAGGCGAACACCGTTACCTCTTGACCTCGAGAGTCCCTGCTAAATTCGTTTCAGTAAAAATCAAAACTTTTATTGTTCTGTTAAAAGTACACTCACACACTCTCTCTCTTTCTCTCTCTCTCTCTCTCTCTCT